TTCCTGCTTCATCTCAACCATGAACATATGTATTGAGAGGGGGCTCTTTCCAGTAAAAGAAAAGAAAGCGCTCTATGCTAGAATATAATATCAGATTTTTTGAAGTGTAAGTCAAAGTTACAATGACCATCTAATCTGTTTTTAAGGCATTATTATAGGCTTTTCCCCCAATAGCCATAAGATGCTTACTTCACATACAAACTGATTTATCAGCCATCAATACACATAGTGAAAAAAAATTCTTCTGTTTTTGAGTAAGCTAGCAGGGAGCTGAGTTCTACAGATTGCATGTAGGGACACAAATAGTTCAAGCCCTTTCTGTTTCCAATGACTGTTTCTTCCAGAGGCTCCAGTTCAGTAAGATAATGTCTGCAGCAGACCTTAAGGAAAAAGAATTCATTAGAATGAGCCACAGCACCCTCGAAATCCAACTCTACATTTTACTGTTGTGCAGAAATATCTTTTTCTCTATGTATGTATCTGTGTATTCATGTATATATACTTTTTCCATCAGCAGCACATGCCCCAACACAAGAAAGTCGCAACTGTCTCTTTTGTAATTGCTATTACAAATGTTCTTGCTATTGTGAGCTAAAATTAGAGGCAGCAAGTTTTAATGACAACAACTAGTCAGGCTTCACAATCATGAGGTAATTCACCTGGACTTTTGACTTGGACTGGATGCAATACTCAGCTTTCAGAAAAAAATGTGACTAGATTCCAGTCCCTTTTCACAGGCAGACAGTAAGAACAGGTTCTGGAAAACAGAAAGAAAAAAGGAAAACATTAATTTCTATTAAAAGTTATTTGCAATATGGAACTGTAAGCATAGCAGACTGTCAGATATTTTCAAAGTATAAGTCAGAGTTGTATTCACCTTTTTCAGTTTAAGATTGTTTTATTCCACGTATGTAATTTGTACCAATTATTGACTGTCAGTATATGTAAAAAAAATAATCCTTCTTCTCTTTGAGGGTAAACTGGCAGGTTTGTGTGGAAATTTTGACAAATATACTTCAAATGATCTGACTACGTCCAACAACATGGAGGTGAGAAATGCACAGGTGTTTGGAGACAGCTGGGTATTAGGACAGGTAAGTCTCAAGTCCAGTAAAAATTTAGAAAAAAAGGATGATAATTTTAATTTATAAATGAACACGTTATAAGCACATGATGTACAGGGATTTTCTAAACTCATGGTCAGTGTATAAGAGGACATTTTAATTTTTATGTCTGTAGATGTGAAATGTGTTAATAATGTCTTATAGCAAACATACTGAATTTAAATGAAATCAAACAATCTCTTTAGGGAAGAATATAAGATAATTATCATAGCTGTCTGGATTTCAATTTTCTACAAAGCTAGATACATTGCTTCTGATATTTTGGATTTACAATTTTAAAAACAATTGTAATTTCTCTGGTGTTGGAGGCACCAGGATATTGAAAGTAAATAGAATCTGAATGCTGGAAAAAAAGGTCTGGAAGAAAGTTTCTTTCTGAACACTGAAAAAAAATTGGTGATTTTTTTTTAGTTGCAGTTTGTAAACAGAGAACAAACTGACAAAGCAGCGGTGGTGAAGGGGTGAGACAGAAAAGGCTCAGAACAGCAACAGGCACAACCCAGTATGGAAAGTTGGTTTCTGAGAAGGGGAGAGGCTGTAGAGAGTGGATGACCGCAACTGTGTTTTATAACACAGAAGAATAGGTATTTTATTAATTTGTGCTGGGAAGATATAAGGTTTTATAGCCTTGTGAAACTCCTGAAAAATCAGTATTTGTAAAGGCACTCCCTTAGGATGTCTGTGAAAACCAGTTTTTAATCTGTTCTCTCCTTGACTCACAGCAGGAAATTGAACCAAAATCTCTCACCTCATGAAAGAATATGATATCTATTCTGCTTTGGAGTAAAGATTTTGAGGCTTCTCTCTCTCAATATCTCCCTTTGAATCTATTTTACTCTACATAAAATGTTTAAATTGTGTGAGCAAGCAAGGCAAATGTGTAGTGTTGGTGGTTATACTGCTCATCTAGAAGGTAGTACATAAAGAAATGTGTAAATACTTTGTATGAAGTGTATGAATTTTTCTTTTCCGATTTATCAGTTCAGTGGCTGCTTTAAAAAAGTGTGTAGCGTTTGCATAGCACATTAACTTCTAGGATGTTGTGACCTTTGCTTAAGCAGCCCAAACTTGCACTTGCCTTTTTGTGGCCATATATATATATACTTGTAAAATCTCATGTAATCTTCCAATCTCTGTGGCTGCCAGAGCACTCAGGATCTGAGTTCAATATTGTCCTCGCAGGCAGCCTGCGCTCAGCCAGACTGGACCCTTCATCTGCCTTCGCAGTAGGCATTAGGGATTTTTTTCAGAAAGGCCCTTCGGCTTTCATAGAGATGTATCCTGGTCATCTTTTCTGCAAAATCTAAATACTGTAAAGGAGTATTTGATAGCTGGAGGCCTAGAACCCAATTCTGCTACTGACAAACGTGCTTGCATTGGCACCGTGAAGCGTGGGATGCTTCCAGGGTTTCTCCCTCCTGGGAGTGGCAGCATGTCCCCCCACAGTGGCGTCCAAGCATCTGCACAGGAGGGCAGTGTAGGTGGGTGACTGCACTGCAGCTGAGGCTGGGTCAGGACACCCCAATGCTGCCTACAGAGCCATCATTACCCCCTCCTAGGCTTCCCTGCTGCACCAAGAGAGTATGGTTTTGGATGAACTCATGTTTTCTGAGCTGAGTGTCATTTTGTTATACTTTTCTGTTCAATTGTTTTTCTTCTTGAAGAGAGACTTTAAGAGAGGGAGTTGTATCTCAGCCATTTTTGAGTTATCACCATGATCTTTGACTCTATTTTTTTTTTATGGGTTGCTCTCTTCCTACTGCTGCTTCTTTATTTGAACTTACAGGGCTAAAGTGTGACTCCATTTAAAGTCAGTGCAAAACCACCAGGGATGGATTTGGACCATGTATTTGTTTGTGATGTTACAGTTGGTTGCTCTGGTAATGATTATAATGTGTCACAAAGAAAACATTTTGTCTTTATGTGCTGAGCAGACAGCAGGAACATTTCAGTACTTCAGAACAAAACACAAAGATTCTTTTTTGTGCAAATGTTTTCAATTACAACAACAAATCAGGGAAAGGGAAGATGAAGAAGATAGCATTTAAACTTTATTTTTGTTTTCTGAGTATGCAGGTATTGAATTATATGATACTATACTGTACCTGAGTCTATGGTAAACACGCCTTCGTACAAAATGTTTGTGGTATTTTTGCTTGTTTTCAAGTGCAAGAGCCCAAATGAAACATTAAGACCATGTGAGGTACATCAGAGCAAGTTCCCTTATGCCAAAAAGGAATGCTCAATTTTATACAGTGATGTTTTTGCACCTTGTCGCAATGTGGTAAGTTTATTAAATATCCAAGATGTGCTTTCATGTAGGAAAATATTAAAATTCCAGTAATTAATTTCTTATTGCTATTCCCCTCAGTCTGAATGCCGTGGAGGATACAGAGTGGAGCCCTGCAAGTATCTCTATGTGGGTGGGCTGTGTTTGTGCAGAGCTCCTTGTTCCTTTCAAGACTGGAGCCTAAGCATAATAGTGATAACTGGGAGCCACAAGTTAGTAGACTGGATAATCAAGGTTCTGTTCTCTTTAGGTTTTATTTATATCTTTTATTTATATTGGTAACTACATTTTTAAGGCTTTTGTATATACTACAGGATTCTAAAATAAGCGTTTGTGTAATGTGCCTACACCTTATCTCGAATGGTTTTATTTTGTTAACTATCCTGCTCAATATAGAAAGAAATATGAGAAAGTGAGAATTTAGCTTCAGAGCTTTCAGTATTTCTAATTGGCTGACAGCTTATCATGTACTTCTTATCAAAACTCTGAGGTTTGTTGTCCTTGTTTTCCCAATACCTGGCTGAGCCTGGGACTTGAGTTACAAAAGTGTCCTTCAAGATCAGTCTAGACAAGATGGGGACAACAATAGCTTGTGTGGGAATCTTTTATTCCATTTTAGTCCACCCTTTATCAACGCAAGACATGCTCTATACATTTTTCCCTATTTCTGATTTTAGCCCCCCAAAGGTATTTAGTTATCGAAGGTGCTTCTTTACACCTGTGCAAGCAAGAACCACTATGACGTTTTGTCTCAGTCTCTTATTTTCTTTATGACTATTAATACTAAATGAGATCATTAGATGTCCCAGCTGAACCTCTTGACTTTCAGGACTGAAGTTTGATATCAACATGGTTAGGAATTTGCCTGAGGAGGAGGTTGCAGTAGCTTAACCCAAGAGATTTATTAATGTTGACTTCAGTTACTATGTAAAGAATTTTTTGAGCATGTGCCTGAGAACATACTGATGAGTGTATTTTCAAAGTGGAAAGTAATAAATAAAAATGGAACTTTTGAGAGTTTTTAAGGAGCTGTATTATAACTCATAAAGAAAGATGTTTTCTCTTGAACATTAATTTTCTATGTCTTATTCAAGTTGTGATTAAAATTTGCAAATGTTATGCCAAAGATTTAGCATAATTGTGTTAAAAAATGCATGTCAGGTACAAAATGTCATTTAATTTGTAGTCAAGTATTTTCACATGCACATATCCATCTTGTATGGGACAGCCTGTAAAGCAAACATCTTTCAGGTGTTTTTGCAACCTATTCATCAATGTGTGAAAATACAGCTCTTACAAATGCAATGTAAAGTGACCTCCTATCAAGGATATCTGCAGCTGACTGCATGAGTGGGGAACAGGGTGCCAAGGAAAAAAGCTGACACTGGGAGCATGGAAGGAACAGAAAGTGTAGATGTGGGTTTCAGGACGTGCTTGGAGCAGTGCTCTTACAGTTGCTTCTGCTGTGCGGGTGGCAGAGGATCCTGCTGTGCATGGAGGCAAGCTCCTGCCTGTGGGACAGGCGGCCTCAAGAGTTCAGCTGAGGCTGGAAAATCCCGTTTTCAAGGAGACAAAATCTTGCATCTCTGGCTGGCAGCGACTGACAGATTGCAGTTGCCCAGCTAAGCGCTGAGCTCAGCAGGGGCAGAGGAGCCTCAACACTCGCAGAAAAAAAGGTCTTCCTCATAACTCCTCAACTCAGCAGGAGCTTTGACCCTAGGCTGCCAGTTTGTCACAACAGCAGGATGTTGCTGACCCATGGAGAGATGCTGTCCTGCAGACATGAAAGACAGGTTGAGCTCTTTGGAGCCAATTTGCTGTTTGGTGGATCCTGCGAAGCTACTGCAGCCATTTTCAATGGAGCTAATGCTTGTGCCCCCACCCCAGTGGTATCCCTCTTCAAAATAAGAAAAAGAAAGCAAGCAAAATGGCATCTCTCTCCACTGAAGGCAGAAAAACAGTCTTCGTGTCCCTGCCAGCTTCTAGCAACTGCCAGCTGAGAAGCTGTCTCCGTGTTAGATTAAGTGCTGCTTTGTTACTGTGACGGTATTTCTGTAATCTGACACGTGCCATTTGAGTGCTCTACAACTGAGCTAGACCAGAGTCTAAACTGAAGAAAAGCATCACTTTAAACATTCCATGTGTTCAGTAAGAAGACTGTTTTGGAAGCATTGCTCAACATTACAAAAAAGATGATTAAAACACAAGAAATAGTGTATCATGTAAAACCACGAAATAACGTGATAGGATTTTAGAGTGAGGATGAGGGTTTCTGATCTAATGAAGGTTTGTGGGCAAAGTATATTAAAATCTTGGTAAGTGCAGAAATAGTTTTCTGCAAAATGTCACCAGCATGCTCAAGCTTTCTTTCCCTGACCAAAACTCCCTCCACAAATTATTACTTTAATTACTTGATAATCAGAGCTGCAGCTCTGACTTTGTTGTTGTTCATGCAAAACTGACAGGATGACTATAGATGGCAGTATTTGCCTTATAGAAACAGAACTGCCAGCTTCAATATACTCTCCAAAATTGATGAACGGCAAGTGTGTGGACAGACATACTTGTTAATAGTCACTGACTGAAATTTTCTCTTGGCCTGTAATGAAGGTACAAGCTGATCATTCAAAGTGTACTTTTTGTATAGGAATGTACCCAAACCTTAGCAAATACCATATATTTGTGTTAAATTCTTTCACT